GAGTGAATGCGGAGAGCAGAGACAAGAAAAGGATGCGGAGGAGAAGAGGAGGCGAGAAGGACGAGAGGCGTGAGATGCATGGCGCTGCGGAGAGAAAGCGAGGATCCAACAACACACGAGGGTTATGACAGACATGACAAACACGAGCATTAAGAAGAGAAGGAGGAGGAGGGGGATGAGGCGAAGGATGACGAAGGGGAAAGGGAAAGGCGGAGAAGAGAGGGCAAGGAGACTCGGCGTTGCGGACGCCCAACGAGGACCCAATTCCACAGGAGGGATGGGAACAAATATGCGTTCATCCGTAGCCCGTCGCAGACCAGGAGCAGCGACAAGGACATGGAGAGCGACGGCGAGGAAGCGGGCGAGGCCTCGCGAGGGTGAAGTCAGAGAAGGGTATGTTGAGACATGGCCACCATCCTCTTCCCTGCTCCACCCTCGTTCGGGAAGAACCGCCGATGCCTCAACTGGTCCTCCGATGATTGCCTGGGCGGCGCGGGGAAGGGGAGCCGACCCGGCGCTGGACCAGGTCGGGCACGTCTCCGGCTCAGGACATTGGCATGTGTTCAAAAGGGGTGTAACATGCAGAACGGAGGAGAAGGAAGAACGTGTGCAGGAGGAGGAACAAGAGAACCACGAGTAGAGAAAATCGAGCATGGGTATGCCTGATGAATTTTGTTTGACACATTGCTTGTTCAGCGGGTGTCGTCGCAGATATCTGTCCCACACACGTTTTCAACTTCGGTGACCATTTTTGTGATCAAAGTTTCGTGGGTTGGTCCCCGAGCAAACTCATTGAAGCCTTGGTCGGGGCAAGAACTGCACGCCCCTCGCTTACTCTCTCTCTCTCTCCCTCTCTGACTCTTTTTTTTTTTTTCTCTCTCTCTCTCTCTCTATCCGGCCCTTGATGATGATGCCGCCGCTGGGCAACGCTGTTGTGGAGGCGGAGGAGGCGGGCGCTGAGCCGTGGGTGACACGAGCCGTCGCCACGGGTGACTGCGGCCCCGAGCCCCGACGGCGGCGTGGCCGACGCGGGAGCCGAGGCCGTGCGTCGCCTGCCCTCCGTGCTGGCCTGTCGCGCCGTGCCCAGCGCCGCTGGCGTGCGTCCTGGAGGCAGCGGCTGCCGCGCTTCCTCCCAGGCTGCTGGTCAGGTCCGAACCCACGGCGGGCTACCTCGTGCCAGTGCTCGTCACCGAAGTGAAGTGGCCAGCTGGAGGTGCCAGCGGTTGACGACGCGCAGCGGTCGAGGTTCAGGGCCCGCAACGGCGGCTGAAGTGATCTCCGCCGAGCACGATGGCAGTGGTGCCAGGGCGACGCGGCCAGGCACCGTGCGACACGGCGGCGGTCGAGTGGGAACGTTTGATGCTAGGCGCTAGGCGGCTGCTTCCTCGCGAGGCATGAAGATTCGGCGTGTATCACCCGTGTATCATCAGTTCTTGCTGACGGTGTCTTCGAGCTCGCCGACGGTCTCAGTCTTGACACCAGATGGGGGCCGTTATGTCATTGCATGATGGGGCTGCAGCGTGCCAGCCCGGTGCGCTGGTCGAGCTAATGCCAGGATTTCGACTCTCTGCCAGGATCGGCGCGGCGGCGTAGTGGTTTCGGCGCTGCCCTCGCGTCAACAAGATACCATATTTCTCTGATGCACGAGGGGAAGGGTGGTCGATCGAGCACGCTGCCTCGTGAACCTTCGAGCCAAGAGCGGCGGTGTTGTCCAATGCCAAGGTGGTGCGAGTGAGCGAATCCGCGAGGGACCTCTCGCCCGAGCCGCCCAGGGCGCTTGGTGCGGGCGGCGCAGCCCCCGGGGTGATCGCCGATGGCGCTGGTGGGGGCGAGAGAGCCACTTGGGGCCTTCGCCCCTTCGTCGAGGTCTGGGTGCCAGCCGACCCAACGGGCGTGCGTGAGATCGGCTTCGCTGTCGAGCTCGACCAGCGAAACCCGCTGCCAGGTGGCTTGTACGCGTTGATGTAGGTCGGCGGCAGAATGGATCGATCTTAGCGCATGGCAATCGAGGATCCGCCCGCGCTCATCAAGCGCAGGCGGGCGCTCCTGGGCCGCGTTGGAAATGATGCAGCCAATCGCGCGCTTTGGTCCACGCCAGCGGGCGGCGCGTCCACTCCCGTCGACGCCGAGTGAGGAGTCGCGCGCGCCGCAATGAGCCACGACCCGCGCGGCCAGAGGTATGCGGATTTAAGAAATGTGTTGGCCAAGAGTGTTATCGGGAATATGCCGAGGCCCGTCCCATGCTTCAGCGTTCAAGTGCCATGCATCGCCATGGCGGGTCTCTTCGGCCTTGGTTCCAGGCTTTTGGCCGCGAGGAGGGCGTGGACGTTGGCGACCGCGGCCTTCGCGACAGGGGCTCCCTAGTCAACGCGCTGCAATACGGAACGGTCTACGACCAGCTCAATCTGGCAGCGTTGGTCAGGGCGGAGATGTACATACACACTCATATATATATATATATATACACACACATATCAGCCGAACTCAACCTCGCGCGGACGCAAACGCGGCGTTGGGCCGTGGGCCGCCCAGCCAGTTTCGCGCGGGCGCCAAAGCAGCGCCCGCCCCGCCCGCTACCCCAGCGGGGGTACGCTTCTCACACGTATCGTGCCCCACAGGGCGCTCTCTTTGCGGCCTCAGTGGGTGCGTTCGCACGCCGCCGCCCCGCCCATTCCCACACGCTTCTCACACGCTTCGTGCCCAATCTAGGGAGCTCCACCGGCAGTCCCAGGGGCACCACCGCATGCCGCAGCCTCCCCATTTCGGCGTATCCCTCGCACGAGTGGTGCCACCGTTGGAGTGAATCCACATACGGCCCCAGTTTGCGCACCCGCATGCCGCATCCTGCCCATGCCGACATCCCCCTCGCAAGGGTCATGCCCCACCCGGGCCCAGCGCGTTCTTCGTCTTGAATGCAAAGGTTTTTTGTCCACATTTCCCCGCGGCGCACCCTTCGCGAAAGGAGGGCCACGCCTTTTGCCACGCGCAGCTGCACGGGGCTGAGCCCATCGCCAGGCCTATGGTTCGTGTTAGGCCCTGGAGCGGCTCTTTCGGCATCCTGTTGTATCGAAGGGCCTCTTTGATCTGTACTGTGACGAGAGGGTCAGACAGCGCGTAAGTTTCAAACTTTGGAGAAGTATTTATTGAGGTTGGCATTTGCCGGCTGCTTCTTGGCCTTCTCATCGTCGTCTTTCGATGAGTGGGGCCGGCCAGTCATGAGAACACGTCCAAGTTTTGCCGCGGGCCAGGTTGGCGGATACGATTACTCGTATTCACGCTTGCGTTTGATTCGTGATTATGTTTTGGTGCGCGAAGCACGCGCAAGCGAAGTCGCATTCTCGCTCGTGCAATGACACACGGTATCGTGTTCGTTTTCGTGTTCCTCATTAGCAATCTCGTTACCGTTGACGCCCTTATTGTTGTCCAGATTGCCAAATATACCCCTAACTCTTACCAGCCAAGCGCCGTTGCAACGCACAGCTTGCCACACAAAACTTACCGCACTGCACATGCAACTTACAAACTTCAACATCCAGTCACAACCTACCTCCGAACACGCCATTTACCACATACCACCTCTAGCTTGTGTTTTACGCATGACCCCATTCGCATTTCTACATCCACTATCCTTACACGTGACCCTCTGAGAGTTAAAGGGTCTCCTGGTCGGGTGCGGTGGTCGCGAATCCGACCAGGTGTGCGTGTTCAGCTTGGGCGACGCCATCTGCGAGGAGAGACACATGCTTACACTTGCCAGCCTCATCGTGGATTAGAAGAGCGCGGAGCAGCCTCCAAATGTTTATGTCGCGTTTGTGTCATAAGGCACAGTTGCGTGCAGTCACGTTGTGAGTTGACGTGCGCGGTCATTAGGAGTGAATTCGTTCGAAGTTCGGCCCCATGTGAATCGAAATGCGCTTCGACTCCGGGCCCCCCTTCCTCCAATGGCGGATAGTGATGCTCGGGGGTTGCGTGGGTTTGCATACAAATTTCTCAGCGTTCTTCTTCGGTGTTGTCATTATTTTCTTGATCGTAATCCCTCTTTCGTACTTATCATTCGTTCTCCTCGTCTACAGAGGCTTTTAGCGGTGTAGTGCAGTGTGTTGCAGATGGCCCGCTCATTCATACCTTTTTCGTCCTTATCCTTTGTTCCCTTCCATCCTCCTGCCGCTCCACAGGTCTCCAAGAATGTAGCGCAGATTGTCCATTGCCCTGAGACCATGTGCGTCAGGTGAAAACCACCCGACCGCACCACGCCAGCCCAACGATGCAGACATGTTCGGAGGGTTCGCAGGCCTGGTCCACGGAGGCCCCGTGGTGAAGGAAGGTCGTTCCTCGGCCCCGCCCACAAGTCAGCGAATGATCTGCGGCGGTAGCGTGCGCTGCCCTGCCGAGGTCTCTAGGTCACCCGCAGGGGCGCGAAGATAACAGCGCTTCGCGCGTCGCGGCGCGGGCGAGAGCAGCTGCCCTTTCCAAAAGGGGGCCGGCGCGAGGGCGCGAGGGTAACCGTGCCTTGCGGTGCGCGAAGCGCGAAGTTAGGCGGCCGAGAAGATTGCCGCGCAATTTTTTGTGAGGCGGAAGCCGTGGTTGCGCAGCACTGGGGGTCGCTTGCATGCCCAACCTTGCCGCCACAGGCCCCTTCGACTACTTCGGCGAGGCGGTGGTAAACGGCTCCTCGCGCCAGGGGCCCCCCCCCCCCCCAAGACGTTTTTGTTCATAGGGGGAGGCCGTCAGACGGCTTGCGAGGCCAGCGGCGCGCACCAGGGGGTGGGGCGACGCAGGACATCGCGACAGCACCGGTTTGTCTACACTGTCTGTCTTCCCCAGCACCTGGACAGGTAAAAGACCACTCAGGATCAAAAACCGGCCCCAGGGAAGGGTTCGGAATTCACAGGGGCCTACGTCAAGGAAAAATGCGACGTCGGAAGAGGAGAGGGTGGGGCAAGGGGGACGGCCTGTAAGGAGGCAGGGCCCAGAGGCTGTTAAGAAGCCTTCCTAGAAGGCAGGAGGGCTGTAGTAAGCAACGTGCCTTCGTAGGTCGCCCCCCTCGCCTCATCCTTTCATGCGCGCCGCCATTCTTCACGAATGTGAGTGCGGTACCGCTACCGCTCATGATCGCTGAATGGACGGTCAGATGGCGTCGCACAAGACGTGCATTGCGCTGACCCACGCCGTCGGTTTCGCAGAAGTGCCGGAAGGGCCTCCGTGCCCCCGGCGGCTGCGCAGGCGTGATGGTAGCTTCACAATTGGAGGGGGGACGGGATGAGGCAGGGGCGCTCCTACGAGTTGGCCGATGACTGCGTGCACCTGGCGCCGAGTTGCTTTACAGACCTGGCCAACAGGCGATCGGTGGCTTCACGCACTGCACTGCTTAAAAGGGAGCAGGGAGAGGGAAGGGACGCCAGGGACGGGGGGAGGCGGGGCGGGTCTTCGGGCGCGCCCTCCGCCGGGCGAGGACGACGAGGAGGACTTGGAGCCTGGACCCACGACAAAGTTTGAGCTGATCACTCTGGACGACTGGGAGCCGGCCGCTCAGCAAGCAGGTGGCCTCAGGAACGAGTTCTCGTGTGAGAAAATTGAGCCCAGCGCCGATCCAGAAAATTCGCGCGGACCTTCGACAGTTTCTGTTTATGAAGCCGTTCATCGAGTTTATTGGGCTCCTGTGGGGCAGTATTGGGCTTGTCTTGAGCTTTTTTGGGCATTCTTGCGTGCAACAGCACTCCTGGAGCTTATTTGGACTGTGTTGGGCTTCTCTGGGGCAGTCTTGTAGGCCCATTGGGGCCGTCTTCGGTCATCTTGGCGCACTCCTGGGCGGTCTTGGGGCCCTTTTGGCAGTCACGAGTGTCCCGTGGGGCCCTCTCCTGTCGTCTTGGGGCCTTCTTGGACCATCTGGGGCCCTCCTGGGCAGGCTGGGTCCATCCGCAAACTGTTTTCCTGCACTGCGCTGTGTTTCTTGGCGCTCCTGGACGAAGTCGGAGCGTGTAGGTTTCCTGTGTCTAACCCATTTCGTTGACCAGCAGGATCCTGTGCTTGGCGGGTAGGTGTGCGTCGGGGCCTCGCTCACGGGTGTTTGTTCATGCTCCATCGCGTTGCCGTGCGGTGGGACCCTCTTTATGCGTGTTGCAGCGCCGCGTGCGCGCATTGTATCAGAAACTAGTGTGAAGGCCTTACGGTCGGTGCCGCCGACCCAGAAGGCCAAAGACGACGACCACGTTGACAACGACAACGACGAGCTGATGGCACTGCCACAGGCTCGGGACATCGGGCCAACGGTGGAGGAAGGAGGAGGAGGAGGAGGAGGCGGACGAGGAGGAGGAGGCGCAGGAGGAAGAGGGGGAGGGGGAGGAGGACAAGCTAGGTGCGCTCGCGTCATATCTGACGTCCTATCCCTCCCTCCCATCCCTTACCATGGCGTAGATTTTTCTATTCGCGCAAATCGGATGTCATAGCACGGCAAAGCATTTCATGGCATAGCATGGTGGTGAAGGTCAACGCGTAGCATGACATAGCATGGAGTGGCGACGCCCCAAGGTCCAAAAGGTCAATGAATCGACACCGGATGCGTAATCACTTCCGATGGTCGTTTCGGGGAGACATTTTCTAGGTTTTGGGGCCTATTTGGAAGGACCGGATATCATGCCGTGGCATGGCATTCGTAATAATGACGCCAGCGCTGCAGCGGGAGCATGATTCGGAACGAACGGAAGCGAGGAAATGAGGCCAGCGCTGCAGCTGGAGCACGATTCGGAACGAGCGGTAGCCCAAAAACGAGGCCCGCGCTTCAGCGAGAGCAGCAGTTCGACAAAAAAACAAGCGCGGAAGCGCGGAAATGAGGACGCGTAGCTTCACATAGCATGGCGTGGCGACGCCCCAGAGTTTGGGAAGAGCTTATGCGGCCCAAAACATCAACGAATCGACACCGGATGTGTAATTATTTCCAAGTTGTTTCGGAGGGGGCATTTTCTAGTTTTGGGGGCCGACTTGGAAGAACCGAAAACCATGCCGTGGCATCGCGCTGAAAATAATGATGCCAGCGCTGCAGCAGGAGCACGATTCGGAACGAGCGGACGCGCGGAAATGAGGCCACCGTTGCAGCGGGAGCACGATCCGGAACGAGCGGTAGGCCGAAAATGAGGCCAGCGCTTCAGCGACAGCAGCATTTCGACAACAAAAAAACGAAGCGAGTACCCAACTCCCGGGAAGCCTGTGTGGAAACAACCAGTACGCGGAGGGGGCCGGACATCCCCCGGACGCCACCGTATTATATAGTGGAGTTGTGGAAGAGGAGGAGCAGCAGCAGTAGCAGCAGCAGGAAAGAGGATCATGAAGAAATGGAGGAGGAGGAGGAGGATAACGGAGGAAGAGCAGGAGGAGGAGACGGAGAAGAAGCGGAGGCGGAGGAGGAGGGGGAGAGGAAGGAAGAGGAGGAGAAGGAGCAGGAAAGAGGACAAGAAAGAAAAGGAGAGGAGGAGGAGGAAGAGGAGGACGGGAAGAATGACGACGAAAAGGAGGAGGAAGAGGAGGAGGAGGAGGAGGAGGAGGAGGACGAGGTGGAGGAGGAGGAGGAGGAGAGAGGATAAAGGAGAGAGGAGATAATAGAGAGGAAAGGGGAAAATACTGAGGAGGAGGAGGAGGAGGAGGAGGAGGAGGGGGGTAGATGGGGAAAAGGAAAACCGTTGGTTTCCTCGGGGGCTTGGGCCAGGGCTTGGGCCGGGGCCGCGGGCCGGGGCCGGGGCCGGGGCCGGGGCCAGGGCAAGAACCCAGGCCGGGGCCGAAGCTGGGGCCGGGCTGCGACTTCTCCACATGAACGACCGCCGCTTTGGGAGGGCCACGCGTCCCCGGGACACTCCTCCCCATGATCCCCCCGGGACGTCCCCTGGGACCCTCCCGGGGACCAACCCCAGGTCCCCACAAGGCCCCCCCTTTGGCGGGGAAGGGGCATAGAGAGGGGGGGTCCTTTCGACGTAATTCTAGACGCTTCGCGTATCCCCACCAGCCCGTCCAGAAATGAGTCCCAGGGGAGTGGAGGTTATGAGGGAAGCGGGGGAGCATGCAGAAGAACAAAGGGCGGGGTGAGCCGCCATATACCCCAAGAGGGGGAGGATGTAGGAGGAGCCGTCGTCGTCGGAGTAGGAGGAGGAAGAGGAGGAGCAGGAGGAGGAGCAGGAGGAGGAGGAGGAGGAATAGAAGGAGGAGGAGATGGAGGACTGCGAGGACGAGGAGGACGAGAAGGCGGAAAAGGAGAGGAGGAGGAGGAGGAGGAGGAGGAGGGGGAGGGGGAGGAGGGAGGAGGAAGAAAAAGAGGAGGAGGAGGAGGAGGAGGAGGACAATTGCGAGCTTGGGGGCCTCTTGGGCCGTCCTTGGGGCCTCTTGGCGGTCCCAGGGGCCTCTTGCGTATCTCGGGGAGCCTCTTGTGGCCTCTTGGGGGTCTCTTGGGGGCCTCTTGGAGGCCTCTTGGGAGCCTCTTGGGGCCTCTTGGGGCGCTCTTGGGGCGCTCTTGGGAGCCTTCGAGGCGCTCTTGGGGCCATATTGGAGGAGATCTATCAAAGAAGGGGGTAATTATCACATTCCGTGCCCCCGATAAGACAGGATCCCCCCCTTAACCCATGAGCGTTGGAGGTCGAACTTCATCAACGACGGGGAAAATACGAATCGAAGTTGAGATTTTCCGATGATGAGCAGCGTATTCAACACCCTACATCATATTATGACGACGACGATTACTAATACCACCACCACGACCACTAAGACCACTACTACTACTGCTGATACGATTATTTCTACTACTACGACTACTAAAATTACTAGGCTACTAGGCTACTAGGCTACTACTACTACTACTACTACTACTACTACTACTACTACTACTACTGCTACTTCTACTACTACTACTACTACTACTACTACTACTACTATTACTACTACTACTACTACTACTATAAAAGTCCTACTGCCGATATTACTAATATTATCACATCGATTACGATTCTTGCGAATTGCTAGCAAGACTTCGAGTACTAGTGGCACTACTATCACGGGTACCACTACTACCAGCACTACTACTATTACTACTAGGACTACTACGACTACTACTGCTATTACTACTACTACTACTACTACTATTGCTACTACTACTACTACTACGCATACTACTACTACTACTACTACTACTACTACTACTCCTGCTACTACTACTACTACTACTACTGCTACTACTACTACTACGACTACTACTACTACTGCTGCCAGTACCAGTACTACTACTACTACTACTACTACTACTACTACTACTACTGCTGTTGTCAGTACTACTACTAGTGCTACTACTACTACTACTACGACGACTACTACGATTACTATTGCGACTACTACTACTACTACTACTACTACTACTACTACTAACTACCACTACTACCACTACTACTACCACTACCTAGTACCACAACTACGACTACGACTACTACGACTACTAGTATTGTGATTGCGACTACCACTATTATTACTACGACCATTACTACGACCACTACTACGACTACGGCTACTACCACGACGACTACTACCACTACAACTACGACTTCCAGTACTACTACTACTACTACTACTACTACTACTACGACTATTTGTCCCACGACTTGTATTATGACTGCCACTACTACTACAAAAGTCCTACTGTCGATACTACTAATATTAACACATCGATTACGATTCTTGCGAATTGCTAGCACGACTTCGAGTACTAGTGGCACTACTATCACGGGCACCACTACTACCAGCACTACTACTATTACTACTAGGACTACTACGACTACTACGACTACTACTATTACTACTACTACTACTACTACTACTACTACTACTACTACTACGACTACTACTATTACTACTAGTAGTACTACTACTACTATCACGACTACTACTACGACTCAGATTACTAATATATCTAGTACTACTACTATTATTATTGTGACTACGACTACCACCATACTTGTTATTGCTACTTTCACGATTGCTACTACCACTACGACTACGACTACGATTGTTACTACGACGACTACTACTACTACTACTACTGTTACTACTGCTACTACTACTATTACTACTACTACTACTACTACTACTATTACGACTACCACGGCTACTACTACGAATACTACTACTACTACTATTACTACTACTACTACTACTACTACTACTACTACTACCGCGTCTACTACTACCACGACAACTAAGAATACGACCCCGACGATTACTACTACTACGACTACCATTGCTACGGTTACTACCACATGTATTATTATTTCAATACGACTACGAGTACAAACGCGACTACGAATACTTTTTTTTTCCTGCTACTACTACTACTACTACTACTACTACTACTACTGCTACTGCTGCTACTCTTACGATTGTTCTTACTACTCATACGGCTGCCAGTATTTCTTGTACTTTTACGACCACCCTGATTTTCCTTTTAATTTTACTATTGCGAAAGTTATTTTACTAATTCTACTGCTTCTCAATTTTAACTATCGGACGTTGGGGGGTGGTATCGCAGTGAAACGGAGACCCCCCACCGGGAAATCGGTTTCGGTTTCGCGTTCGTGTCGTGCCTGCGGGCGAGGCGAAGCTGCGTGTGATCCTCATATAGGCCGAAGTAGGAGCGAAAGTCCCTTCTCCGTCCGCCGGCGGCCGGGAGGTGTCCCAGTTGGGCCGGGCGGTGTCCCGGGTGTCCCGGGTGTCAGTAGGAGCGAAAGTCCGTTTCCCGTCCGTTGGTGGCCGGGAGGTGTCCCAGTTGGGCCGGGCGCTGTCCCCGGTGTCCCGGGTGTCCGGGGCGTCCCGGCGCTAGCGCATCTTGGTACTTTCAGAATTCATTTGTTCGGCGCTTGCGGCGGGCTTTCTTATCCAATCCAGCTTACCTTATCCAATCCATCTTGTGCAATCCTATCCACCTTATCGTATCCAACTCATATCGTCCCATGTAATCGTATCCCACAAAATTCCACCCAACCCAATCAATTCATTTGTTTCTGCGCCTGCGGCGGGCCAATCCAGTCCATGTTATATCATCCAAATCATTTCGTCCCGTCCAACCCATCCAATTAACTCTTATCCAATTCCGTAGCCATTTTGGCTCAAGCCATTTTGGCTCAAGGGCTCTAACCTACCTTGGGGTTAGAACCTTGCTGCAGGCGACAGGGAGGCTCGAGCCTCCTGAGGACAGACCTCACTTATGATTATTT